ACATTATTTGTGATACATAATTAAGATACTTTGAGCTGATAGAGTTAAAAGTGACATACAATATATTTTTGATCATTTTAGCTGTTATTTTATATTGTTTCATGGCTATTGGCATACGAAAAATATTGGAAGTTGCGTTTGAAAAATCGTTATAGCAAAATAATCCTTCGTGTAAACCGTTTTAAAATTGTTATAACAAAGTAACCGTTCATATATATCAATATTTTTATTATATATTGGTACTGAAAAATGCAGTTTTATATGTTTTATTCTTGCATTATTAATAAAACTAATATTAATGTTTTCACTTCAATATTAAAATATATAAAAAGATGATCCGGATGATCGATTTAAATAAAAATATAAACGTGAAAGAACGCTTCCTAGAACTTCAACAAAAACAGAGATATTGCTCTTCTGGGCCCCTATTCTTGAAAAATATCGCATATAAAAAACTAGGGAAATACTATAATGCACGTAACATATACTATAGTATTTCCCTAGTTTTACGTATGCGATACTTTTCAAGAATAGAGGCCCAATTTCTATATCTCGCGGCTAATGACTGACCACGCGTAAGAAAGAAATCTAAGAATTTAAAAAGTTGCGAATCTACTTGCCGAAGGGATTGAAAGGGCGAACTGCGGGGTAACACGATGCAGAAGCGCCGCGGGACATATTGAGCCACTTAAAAAACGATATTTTCGATGTGTGTGCTTTATCGGGCGCGAACGTGGCGCAGACTGGATAGTCACGTGCTGTGCGTGCCTCGCCGTGGATTTCCCAGATTTGCGATCCCCGAATCTCGCTGGCCGTCCTATCTCCGACGAAAACCCGGGCACCGCGGCGCACCCTCGATCGGCCCAAGGCAAAAATAATAGACTCGTCGCACGTTTTCATTCCCTCGGCGTGACGGCGGCCACTATCGACTGCACCCTCATCCCACGGAAAAGCTCTACAGGGATAGGCGTAATCACGAAAATTCCACGCAAGCCACTCTAAACATCTTTACGATGCAAGACGATGACGGCATCGTGGCTCCTCCACCACTTATTAATAAATCAATTTGATATTTTTATCCGCTGATGTATTACTTATATATTATACTATATGGATTACGGAAAGAATTTGAACGGTTTTGCATTGAAGTGTCTAAAAATTTAGCTAAGTACAGATCTGGAAATATTTTTATTGAACTATCAAAATAATTACATAAGAAACCTAAGCAATGCTACAAAAAGTATTTGACATTCTAGCAACCAGTTTAAGCGTCATATATAATTATTTTGATGATTCAACAATATTATTTTTAGACCTGTATCTAGCTAAATTTTTTGATATTTCAGCAAAATCTTTCTTTTCCGTACACTGTTTACATATTAATTATATAATATATTTACTAATACATACTTATATATTTGTATATACTATATTTATATAACTAAGTATACTGCGTTCCTATTAGATTGAGATATGTTATTATAAAAGAATTGCTGAAAATTCTATTATGTATTTGAAGACATTACAATAATCTGTCGCCAAATTATTAAATGAACTTTATTGATTTCTTGATTGTGACTTGATAGAAAAATAAGATTTCTTCTAGATTATTCTTTTGTAATTAAAAAGTTATTAAAATCACTTATCTTTATCTCTCTCTTGATATTGATATTCTTTTGATTAAAGGTACGTCAATCATAAAATACTTATACGGATATCTACGAGGGTGTCCTTAGCGATATAACATTATAAATTTTCTTTTACGCGGAATGATAAAGTTTTCAATTGTAATTTATTTCTACATATGTATGTTCTGGACTTTGTCATTAAATATTTAAATAAGACAGTTCAAACTTCATCTTTATCTTACAGATAAAAATCAAAGAAAATGATTAATTTTTTATAATATCCTGTATGCTTCTATTTGTTAATGAACTTAAAAAAATATAATAACTCAAAATAATATTAAAAAAAGATACCTTATATTTTCTTCCTTCTATAATTCTTATTTATTTTGAACATTCCGGTTAAAACAGAACATGAAACGTTAAAAAGAATACGCAACATTCCCTAACGTTCTCGTCTGAGAAGCGAACCCGGAAAGATTTTTGATATTTTCCGAGCGGGAAGGACGTTTCTGCAGCGCGCGCGTAAAAGCACGTATGTGGCGAATCGATTGTGCAAACAAGAGCGCCCCCGTCTCTATCGTCCTCTCGTTAAATTTCTGTTTCACCGTTTCAATGCAAACGTTGCGAGATATAAAAGTTGCAAGCAGGCCATCAGGCCAATCCGAGAAGTTTTGCTCTATTTGCACGGCGCATCTAACTTATTAATAGCGTATAATCGCAAATAGATTTCTATTTATATAGTATATGTACAGTGTTTTCGCTTATCGGTATAAGGCGATGTTTCATATCAAAATTCATTAAATGATTTTTCTTCTATTAAGATTTAAGTGAGCATTTTTTACAATCGTAGAAAACATTGATCTCTTCAGATATCTCTGGAATGTGAAATATTACAGTAACTAAATTTTACGTTAAAATTTTGCTAAAATAAAATGTGTTTGTGGGGCTTAACTTAAATATTTAAACTAAAATTCAAAATATTTCTCTTTGTTTCTGTACTTATATGAATATATCTTGCATTGCTTACATTTAAATATGTATCTTTGAAATCACACAATTAAGATAACTGAAATGAATACGATCTAATAATTCTTTTATCTTCGAATAATATCTAAAAATAATTTTTCTTTGAAAAACCTGATAGTTTTCGATATCTTAATTCTAAAAGAGACATACTTTATTATCTCGCACTAAATATATTCATATAATTCTTATTTCTCTCATACTAAGAATGTTACAAGCCGAGAATTCAATTATAGTTACATTTAGCATCAAAGTGCATGCAGAAGTGGATACGGGCTTTGGTCATTTTTAACGAGCCGTGCCGCGCAGAGCATTGGTCGAAGTCGATCGATGAGATAGCATTGGAAGACAGGCAGGTGGTGGATGAGTCGCCGCCGATCAAACGCCTCGAATTGGCAGCGATTTCTCGACCAGCGGCCGCAGCCAACCCTCTCTGTTAGCTAGCCGCCACTTCCGTCGAGTCAATTTTAATAATTCCACCCCCCACAAGCCACCTTCGTACTGCGATGACTCGCACGATTTTTCCTGCAGCTTTCAATTATCCGAGGACCCGCACTCCCACGAACGAGCGAGTACATGCTGTCTCGTGGAATATCGATTGTTCGACGTTTTCTCTCTCTCTCTCTCTCTCTCTCTCTTTTTCTTTCCTTCGGGACGATCGTCGCGTTAGACACCCGTACCGGAAGTGGGCGGAACGAGAAATTACGAGTTGTAGTAACGAGAAGGTGCGTTATTGTCGCCGACAATTACGACTCTTACATACGTCGTGGACGTTCTGAAAAAATATTCGAGTCACCCATCGGCTAATTGGATGACTTCCCCAAATTATACACAAAATTCTTCCTTGTAAAGAATTTGTCTTTAACAATATTATCGAGATATTTACAATTCTTGATACATTAACGATTGAAAATAAAGTTTTTGGGAAGTTTCCTTAATCGTCATATTATTCAATTAATTTCAAGTATATATTTCCTTTTGACAGGATTTTTGTTTATATACATGCACTCTACTTCAATATTTTTTTTATTTTTTAACAAAGCGCTACGTTATTCTGCGATACAAATAGTTATGTGTGAATCCCTTAGAAAATACTAATACACACTAAAAATTACTTCGGCACGAATGGTGCGCAGTAAAACCGTGATGTATACGAAGAACGCCAGGTACTCGCTAATATATCCTTTTTGGTTGCGGAAAACCGGCGTTCTCAATCGGTCGGCTGAAAGAAAGGAAAGACCGTGAAAAGAGTATCGTTGTAAAGTAATAATCGATTTATGACGGCGCGGCGGTGCATTTTTTACTGAGACTCTTCTCTAAAATTTGAAGGGTCCTAGATTATTCCAAAGAAAGACACAACAAAATCGTGCGTGTGCAACTAAATATCTATGACGTAATACAACGATATAATAAAAGCATAAGCACTCAGACAGCATGTATGTCTAAAAGACGTCATGAAAACGTCATAAAGATGTCTTTTGAGACATACGTATTTAAAAAAAACTATTTAAAAGACACCATAAAGGCATCCTTTAAACATGAAGATAACATTGCGTGTTGTCTGGGCATTTCGTTCCTAAGGTGTAGCAAAAACTTCAAGAACCATAAAATTTATTTCTCAAAACTGAATATTCTTTTCAATTTATTTATATTGTTTTATTGCTTGCCTTGATAAATCAAATTTCTCAAGAACACAATAAATTTGTAGTGCATTATTTGAAGTCCAAATGTGTCACTAAAATCAAAATGGTATGTCGCGTAATTTATTATTAATATTTCTTTTGAAATCAAAGGGAAACAACAAAAATATTAAAAGAAAAGTAAAAATGGGGTAATGAAAGTCAGTGGAATAATAAGTGTATGCAAAATTTTTTTTAAATTAACATTTTTATAATTAATAATATATTTTTAAAATAACATTTTTATAATTAATCATATCATTCGGAAAGTAATCAATATTTATAAAACCGTTCGCGTAGCCGACGTATCGACTTACTTAAAAGTCATTCTCAACAGAAAGAAGATAACATCATGATACATATTTATGCGTAAAAATACTAAAAAATTTTATCAATACTATTGTTTTCCCTTAAATGAACGAATTCTTTAATTTGAATTGAGCGAAAATTTAATCTCTATTATGCATTCTTTTAAAATATAACAAAATTTAAATTTTTATATTAAAAGCTTAACGTTAAAATTTAAAAAGGAAATAGATTATACGTGAGAAAAAATTAAGGAAAGGAATTGCAACGCGTTTCACACTATTTATCTTTGTCCGTTTATTCTTATACCGGATGTCTAAGTGACATCGACGCCATCGATATATTGGACCTTTTATTGTTTCAGTTCGATCTTCGTGGGAGGCTGCGCAGCGCGTAAAGATAAACATCCATACGCAAGAATAACATCTTCTAGATCCCTCTAATCACAACACTCGGAAGATACTCCGTACATAAGCGAGGAACATGGGTAAGAAAACACTTTTGATAGAACCATCGGAAAAATGAGAGAGCGGCCTGGCAATTCATCAAGGAAGATCATTATTCGCGATAACAGAGAAAACTAGATCGCGCATATAACAAGCAAGGGTGTGAATTGTTATCGATGAACAATTAATAACTTAAAAAAAAAATTAAAAAGAAGATACGCGAATTATTCAAAAATTAAATCGAATTTTTTTTAATGCTGGTCTAATTAGAACGAATTAAACAGTTTTTTATGAAATTTTATAGTTATTATAATATAAAAAAAAACAATTAAATATTGTTAATAAGAAAGTATAACAAAAACTGTTCTAACGGAATGAACATATTTCGAAAACATTTACGGAAAAAAGTACCAAATATAGCATTTTTAAATTAGCGCTAATAAAATCATTTTATTTTATCAATGTTATATTTAATAATCAAGATTCTCATAAATAAACTAATTTTTCTGTTGTGAATAAATATGTAATTTTTATTCGGATTATTTTGATACATTCCACGCTGTTCTACAACGTTTCGCAATATAATCGAAAATAGAACAACTTGAGCTACGCTCGATTCTAATGGCACTTCGAGTTCGCTAAAGAAGATAATGTTACATCGTATACGCGTTACATAGTATTGTTTTAGATATATTGATAATTATTAATCTTGTTCAAGAAATGCTTTTTCCTCTTTCTCACGTTATGCGAATAAATAGATAATACGATAGATTTAAAATTTTACTAAAAGTTATCATTAAATTTATCCTGTAAACGGTAATTTACGATGAATTGGAAATAACTGAAAGGAATTTATGCTACAAATTATCAAATTCTTTAATATCAAGGATTAACTTAAAAATTTTGGAAGTTTATTTATTCCTTCTTTTTTTCTCTTAATATTGATCAATTTATTTATTAAAATTAAAGTAGACCAAAATTTGTGTCTCACATTAAGGAGGCACTAGATTCTATTATTATATTTAGAATAAAAGAAAAAATTAAAAGCCATCTCTCAACATATTTCAATGTTATTCTCGACTAGTTCTAAATTATCTTTTCTTCGAAGATAAAAAATACAATATGATGGCGTAAATTCCTATCAATTTTTCCTTAATCCAACTATTTTTAAAAGAACGCAGAATATCTCAACAAAATGTACCAGCGACGAGATATATAAAATGGATATTACATTTTACATGGAGGCACATGTGAGACTTGCGATATGATCTGACATTTACCGAACAAATTCGTATAGATTTACTTTATCCCAGCAATAACTTATTATCTCGAGTTCGGAGCAAATTTAGTACAAATAACTCCTATTGATCTGTGTGAAGTAAAACGGAATAACGAGTGCTCATTATGGAGCCGTAACGCTATACCAATACAGTCCAGACCTCTGTTATGACGTACCTATATCAATTAGCTCATGCGAAGAAGTATTGCGAAATTTATTTGACTTCTACAAAAAGTTATACAAAATATGACACGATATCTGCTTACGATATGCGTTTAGAGTGTTATCACTCGTAAAACTACGTATTTATTGCCAGTTGGGGGATATATCGGTAGGAATATCTGCCGTAAAAACCGCAGAATATCCATAAAAATATTTATGTGTAAACAGTACCGGCGAAGACATGATGTATGTGGATAAATAAACTTGCATGTACAAACTGTGTGATAGTCTAAGTGTGATTCAAAGGCAGAAAATTGAAAAACAGGCTCTTCTAAACCGGAGTGAAAATTGGGAACTCTTAATATCTTAGCAGCCAAGATTTTAATTCATACATTTCTATAACATATTATATAATTATTTTTCTTTAAGATAAGAAATTTTTTTGTAAAATTGTACGATAATGAGGTAAGTATGCCAATTAATTCGTTAGTCCATTTAACGTAACGTAGTACCTTATCTCTCGCGCGAGACAGTTAATGATAATTAAAAAATTTGTAAGTACTTTTAAAAATTTCCTTAAAATATACGCGAAATCTACTTAAAATTTATAATAAATATACGAATACGACTAAGAAGAATTAACATATAGCTGCTATAAAATACAAAGTAGGTCTATACGTAAAGATATGGAATATACGTATCAACGGAATATTTTAATTTACGTGCGTAACTCGAAAGTTAAATATCGAGCTAGTTTTTCAAGGAAGTGATCAGAATGATATATTAATACATAATTAAGAATGGATAGACGTGAAAGATATTTAAACACGTTGAGTATTTTCATATCGACGTGTATAATCTATTAATATTAAAGTATGTATATACCCGCGTTGAGCTTTGTTTAATTAAAAGGCATAAAAAGGAATGCTTTTCATGTTATGTTCCAAAAGCATATTTTCACGCAACCAATGATTGTCGAGCAAGCTTATCTGTACTAATGAGCAATGGATAAGATAAGATGCATTGTGGTAAGATAACGGATGAAATATGAGAAATTAGTATTAACCCTTCGCGGTCCCAATTATTTCTCGAAAATGAATAAGAATGAACAATTTCATCCTCAGTTTAATTTAACATAGTTTAATGTGTACCACACATTTAACTTATATTACTTAAAGAAATTTATGGATGTTATAAAAATATAACGTGCAAATTGTAATCGTGCATTCGAACGTTTGGAAAACTGTTTCCGGAAATCGCCGTAAAGCATTATGTCAAACTAAAATATCGACTATGGAATTATCGACCATGGAATTACAAAGGGTTAAACTAATAAAAAATAACTAGTAAAAAAGGAAAAATTGAAGAAAGGAAAAGACAGTGTAACAAAAAAAAAACAGTGTTGTGATGATTGAAAATATAACATTTGTTATGTATCAAGCAAATTTGAGCGTCATATATGCAGTTGTGCAAAATATTATAAAAAAACAATAGTATTTTTTAAAGTCACGTTTTGAAAAATATTCGATCACGTATTTGCATCATTCTATCAAAATGCAAAGCAAATATCATGTATTTTAACCTGCATTCCAGTCGGTTTCAATATTGTTAATAATGTAGAAATATTTCACATAACAATACGTCTAACAAAATTACACGCGCTTAATTAGAATAGCGCTTAATAGTAATAAATAATTATTTCGAAAATACATGTGAATTAATGAACAAATCGTAATAACAATCGATGATCTATTAATGATTGATCTCGTTCTCTAACGAAGATGCGTAATAATCGTTGGTGAGCAACGATCGGGTAAACGATTTCAAATGAAGACTATGATGATGTGTATAAAGTTTCAAGCGATAACAATATCTTTGCCAATACGGTCTAATAGTTAAATAACGCGCGAGAATAGTTATAGAAAAGCAATGTATAATCAACATATTACGATGAAAGCGATTATTCGGTGTTCTTGCCAAATCACACGTATTAATGACTCTGAAAGAGTTCTAGATTAAGTACACATTGTAAAATCAAAACATGATTTTATAAACGGTGATCCATGTATTTACCTTTATAAAATCACTGTGGTGACTTTACAAAAGAAATATTTCGAAAATCGCTTGTTTTTAAATATTTTGAATTGCTTATGTTCAACCAGTTTATCAGTTAGCGATTCTGCATATATAATCGCTGTAAAAATTTCATGAAATAATTTTTAAGTTATACGTATTCATCGTAATATCTATAAGGCAACAATCACGCTTCCGACACATGCACATATTCAAAGATCGGTTACCGGTCCGGATAAATTTACGTTATCTATCACGAGTGTAATTTTGGAATCGCTCGCGATCGACAAGTTCTTTTCACTTCTGGACGTATCCGGTTTTTCATCATCATCGTCGTTGTCGTTGCTATCCTCCGCTTCGTCTTCAGACGATGACGATGATAACGGCACCTGATTCATTGGTTCCTTAGTCTGGTCTTCAGGAACGGGATACACGCCGGAAGCCAGGACGTCGCAAATCCTGTTTACCATTTCCGTGGCCGTGGCACCGTTCACCTTTTTACGTAGTATCTCCACCAGCTTCTCCAGTCTGACAAATTACGTTTCGTGTCACGTTACATTCATTCGTGCCAGCAAGGGAACGTGCCGTTTTTCCACCGCTAATGCATCCAAACATTTGCTAATACATCCAAAGACTTGCCCAACAAATTCTTTAGCAGAAAGTAAAGCGAAAGTTTCAGCGGAAAGCCATGCTGCCGACTAGAAAACAGAAGAAAACGGTGCGATTCGATGCTTGCCGTGCACTAGATCTTTCCAAGAGAGAAAAAAAATCAACGGATCTTTGAGGAGTAGAAGAATCATGCAAGCAAGATATACATTCATGCTACAGTTCGTACAGAAAAATAGTTTTGGAAAGAAAAATATATAACAATTTAATGAAAATTGAATCTGATCATTGTGTTTAATGTTACAAAATAAAACATAACAAATATTTTATTAAATCGAATCTAAAAAAACATAAACAAGAGAAAAACATACTTTTCAGCAAAAACATATTTAAATTAAAGCTTTATAATATTCACTTCAAAAATTATGGAAAGTTATTATATATATATAGTTACATAAATTTTTATAATATTTATTTTAAATTACAGAAAATTATAGTTATATAAATACAAAATAATAGAAAATTTCATAAAATTTCTAAATCATGCGAAAAATATGGCAAACAATTAAATTTTTTATGGCGCTTAAGAGAATAGGAATATGCAATATGACTAACAAAACGTAACACATACAACAATACAGGTACAATACAGATGTATAAAAAATATATGCAACATATAGTATAATATATGTAGAAAAGATATAATACAGATATAAAAGCATATTAATAAAGCTGATGATACCATGCTAAATAACATTTAATTAACATATATATTGTATCATAAAAATATAAAAATTTATGAAAAAATGTATTTATTGTACATATTTGTGCTTTTTACATACATCTGATATATATATATTTACGGTTATCTTTACAGATAGAGAAGCAAGTATTTATAACGAATTAACAGAGTATTAAAATTGCTAAGCATGTGTAAAGCAAATAATGACAATGTATTAAAGTGTTTGCATACTTAAATAGCAACTGGAGTAATTGCTACGTCAATCTATGCAAAGCCCTTTGGTCATTAATGCTAATCAGTCACTATTCTTTACCTTCTTTTCCATGAAAAGAACAATTCTTTACATTGATACAAAACACCTCGCTTTATATATGTAAAAAAATGAAAAAAATATAATTATACAATAATACATAATAGAATAAAAATTCTTATTTCTAGTTAGCAGAAAGCTGTCTTTCTCCAATTTCCTTTTAAGAAGCAACGCTGCGGAAACAGTGCTGTGAAATGTCGCGAACATAGCCCAGATGAATTACGTTATTCCGGTATCTACATTAGCTCTCTCTCTCTCTCTCCTCTCTCTAATTCTGTATATTATTTTATAGTTTAAATCATATATTACTATTGTATTAGTAAGTTAGAATCACTGGGTAAAAGGAGAGCTCGGTAACAAAGTCGGAAACAAAATATTTGAAAATAAAAAAAAGTAAATTTTCTTTCTCTAAAAATAACTTATACCAATAATTTCAGCAACTAATGCATACAATTTATGTTAAAAAATTCGAATCTCCTTCGAATACTAGGAATGACGTAATTCCCCCGAAGTGCCGGGAGCATTAATACGACGTGTACGAAAAAGCATGCATGATGAGTGTGAATGAATAATAGACCTACGTGCTATTCGATACATAGTAGTAGCCTCTAGTAAAAAGCCCCTTGAAGCCCCTTTTCGCGGATATTGGCGACGAATAGCGTGGTGTATGACTTTCTTTTTGTCTTTTTGCTCGGGGCCCCGCGCGTACGCGCGTAATTTAGATATAGGCGGTGGTGTAGGTGGCACGTGAAGGTGCTGTTTGGGTTCTGGAAATCAGGGTTCTCGTCGAACAGAGGTCTTTCGGGACGATGGAGCTACCACCGATGACAACGACATCCGGCACGTCGGTGATGGCTCGACTTGTGCGATCATCATTGGGAAAACAATCCTCGTCCTCGTTCGCGGTATCGCAATTGCTCTCAGAGGAACACAGTGGGACCGTGCCGGTCAGAATCATGGTGTCCTGACGCGGATCCTTATCGCTTTCACTGAATAATCTCCTTAAATTTCCCTTCTTTCGTCGTGGTTTCTTAAAACTGCCTCGCTGGTTGTGAAACCTGCACCATTTTTGCCAACAATTGTGATTATCCGAATAATTGATCAATTTCTCTACTTTGCACGCAACGTCGCTCAATTTTTCCGGCAGATCTTTTTGTTCCCCAGGGACTTTAAATGATAAAAAATCTTGTAGTTCATCCTTTTCCGTTGATGGCACCTTTGCTTCATGTATTTTGAATAGCTGATCGACAGGTTCCTCTGAGATATCATCAGTCAATAAGTGCTTCGTTCTTTTTTCATCTTCAGCCATCATCAATGGCTTTACTTTACCATCGTTTCTTGTAGTGTCGACGTCATGCGTTTCGTTCTGATCAAAGTTGTCCAATACTGACGTGTCCAGAAATTCGTAAATGTGTTCTAATGATTTCCATACTTCAACCATATTATTGTTTGTGCAAGTTTCGACGGATTTACAGGACAAAGACATTTCTGACCGCGCACTTTCCTTCGTCGAAGACGTATCCTCACAGGATACGGATTCGGAATCAGTCGTAGAATTTTGACATTGATTCGCCATCTCGGAGACGAGTGGAGGAGCAGCCACCTCCGCAGAACGGGGACGTAGAACGGAAGAGATGGAGAATGTGTGCGATGCAAGTGGGATGGCGGGGAACAGGAAGCGAGTATCGGTAAGAGCGGTACGCACGGGGGTGCTGGTTATATAGGGCGTATCGAAAGTTACAGGCGTGACAGATCTGGATACCGCAAAGTTTACGCACTTTGCTGCGTGGTTCTCGGCCAGGGTCCTGGATGCCCGCGCCTCTTGGAGCTCCCGTCGCAGCGCCAGATTCTCCTCCTCGAAGACTGCGATCTCGCGACCTTCATTGCTAGTGCGAATAGAATTGATTTTTCTTTCCATTTTTTGTCAGAAGCGAGCATTGACGTTGGTTGCGGGGAACAGCGAACTGATTTAATTGAAGTTGTGGGTATCTCGTATATAAATAATTTTGAGGATCGCGTTCGTCGAGAAATGAAGCGAAAAATGGTTGAAATGACATAGTTAAATAGAACGAGAGAAGATCGTTGTAAATAATAATATGAAATATCTTGATAGATCATCCAGAAGTTTCATCACTGACGGCTTTCACTTGTCTTCTATTTTAGTCACGTGACTTTACCGTAGAAAGGATTGGATTATTCTGAAGTTATTGTCGGATTCCAGTAGATATCGTAGAGTTTAATCTTAAGCAACGCTTAATAATCATCGAAATAATAGATGACATCAAAATGTATTACACGCGATTTATTGGACAATAATTATTTACTAAATTTGTCATAAATAAATGTATGAGACAAATTATGCTTGTGCTCCTAGGCGTAGGAATTATGAACAGAAAATAAAACTAATAGTAGAAACAAACAGCTATGATAAACCATGGTCGATTACGTAGAAATAATATATAATTGGAATCAGTTTTCCGACAAACTTTATCAGATGGAACACTATCGTATTTTATCGCGCCTTTTAAATTATATGCCGTCCGACAATGTTCAATATAAAACAAATATTAGAATCTAAAACAAGCTTCTAAATATTTACAAATGCTAAAAAGCTTACTTACGTCGCGCTCAGCTTCAATGCCATCATTTCCTCTTCCAGTTTTGCAACACGTTGATCACTTTCCTCTTTCTCTTTTAAAATCTTCGCCAATTGATTCTGCAACAAATAAAATATAAAAACATTAATAGTTAAGTAAATAAAAGTTAATAGACAATGAAAGAAAACTGTCGTTATTGAAGCAATTAAAGTTTAAACGACAAAAAGTTTTTAAAAAATTACATGATAATATTCATATTTATAAAAATAGATCTTATTAAAATATCATATCATCCAGTAACTTCTCGTATATTTTAGAGAAATTTTTGAATAAGGCAAATAAAAGTCTATTCTTTTTTTTAATTATGAACTTGAAGATGGAATAGATAGAACTAATACGAATTATTCTCGATAGAACTATTCCAACATTTTCTAAACTATTCCTATAAACTGTTTTTCTTTTTACATTAGCGTAAACTGTGAACGTAATTGAATTTTTTTCTATCTATTTTAACCACTTTATCTCGATGTTTAAAGGTAAACGCAACACGTTGGGAAATATGTATAAAAAAAGGAAAGGAAAGGAGCTAGCAACCTTGATCAGCTCTCACGTGCAGCAAAATTTACATGGACGTGGAGATGGAGGGTCCCGGAGGTTCAATTACGAGATTGCCAATATGCAAGCGACATGGCGGTGGCGGCCATCGCTTTGGCTGATGAGGCTAATGGATGGTTGAAACCTGAGAAGAACGGCAAAGAGGAAAAAGAGGCCAAGGGAGAGGCCCCTGACAGCCACTAAGTGCGCTCCGTCCTTCTCCACCCTTCCCCAATTCCCCCTTCCTTTCTCGTCCTTTCGGTCCCAGCCCTGTTCTCTCTCGCCTCTGCAACACTCTGCCCGCTGCGGATGCCCTTATGTGAAACCTAATCACTTTTAGCGCGCGTCACGGATATTTCGTATTATGTCTACATTGCGTTCTCCGGTATCGGCTGACTTTATCAGCCGTCTCTCTACAGTTCAACCTTTCCCTCATCTCCCTTCATCCCCTTCGTTCGTAGAATCAAGTCGCGCGTGCAGCAAACCCTAATCGGCTGATGTGTTTCTCAAGGATAGATCATGGAGCCAATTTCTGAAAGAACGTTAAAAAAATCTTGCGACCTCTTTAATTTTAAATATAATTTTTTTTCGATTCAATGATTGTATACATTTAAATATTGTCTTTTTTGTATTGACTTTTGTACTTTGCCGTTAGTAATGACATGTGTAACAAAAAATTACACTTTACAATGCGTGATTACAAACTTGGAGAGTGCAGTTACAATGGAAAAGTATAATTTGTAAATAATGCAACATTTTTCCTTTTATGTTGTTAAATCGATACGCATATGCGAATGTATGTAATAACGACACATTTGCGTGTTTGTACTAATGTATGAAATACTCTAATGCCACAATTACGTATCATCAAAGTAACATACGCAAGGAAGAAAATTGATTTTTCTACATAATTCATACGTGATCGCGACCATTCACGTTTATAACTTTTTCTGTTATTAAAATTATTTACTATAATAATAAAACATATCTTAAAATAAAATAAAAATAGTATAACGTATTTTGTAATAAAAAAAATATGCATTTATTATGACTACGCCCATTGTGCATTTTTATAGCAACAAATACCACAATTGAAAAAATATATGAAAAAATTAATGATATATTAATTATACAATATATCAATTATAAAAACAATGTAAGATTAATTTAAATAAACTTATCTATCAAGAACCAAATCTATCAAGAACAAATTCTGCAAAAGTCTGTTACAAATTTTGTCAACAGAAAGGCTACAGGTTTGATTTTGCATATAAGTTTAATGTTGTTAGTAGAATGATGGCAAAAATTCAATAAACATAGTTTGATTAACAGTAGAAATAATCTGCATTTGACAGATTCTGCTCGGTTTCTGCCGCTAATCTACTATCAGAGATTATGACAGTAGATTCTATCGGCAAAATACGAAATTAATACAGACGCAGTCGAGCTTAATTTGCTAGCAATTTCTGATCGCATTTACTGATTCATTTACTGATTGATCGCATTTACAATTCATTGGCAGCGGACAGATCACTTACTGAAGAAATAATTAATTAACGAGATAAGAAGTAGAAATACACAAAAGAGTGGAAATAGAATTAATTGTAGAGATTTTGCATATATATGATAATCGAGAGAGAAAAAGAGAAAGTTGAAAAAAGACCAATAGGTACCACGACCACCTGGCTGTCCTAATCAAATAGAACGTAGAAATGTCTGCACAAACATTACGTCCATGATCGTGATCCGGAAGAGCTTTTTTTATTCCAATCCTAACCGCATAACGACACGAGTGGCACAAGAAAAAAAAGGGGTTCACTGGTTTTGTTTTCTATTCCTATATTCTCATAGTATACATACTTTCTTCTTTAATTTTAGTTTTTGACAGATTTTTCGTTTACTAATTTGTGCTGTGTCGAAGATTTTTAATGTACTACATATAAAAAATTCAAGCTAATATAATAGTTTGCTCAAAAAAGATTAAAAATAATATTTAGTATTTTGTATAAAAATAATCTCAAAATTTTTTTGTATGCAAACTATTATATATATTTTTTTATCTATATATTATAAAAGCCTTTTTACATTTTTATGTTTTGTTTGTATATATTAACAATAAGATTCGAAATAAAATGGCAGATTATTTAATAAATGTATATAATTATTAAATAGTTCAATTAAAACATAACTATTTCTTACTTCTTATTTTCAGTTCTGTATTCAGAGGTAAAGGATATATCACCAAATTTGAGAAAATAATTTAAGTATCAAATTATCACAATTAAACATGTCGTTTGAAAAAACAATTATTACATAAAATAGTATATAAAATTATATATGAAGGACATATTACTATAAAGAATGTTATAATATGAAGAATACAATAAAATAATATATTCTGTTTACATACCTTCAGCTCATCCACTTCTTTTGCTTGTTGATTACATTTCTCTTCCAACATAGATTTAACTGTTGTAACTAAACTTTCTTCACAATTCCTGTTAGCTTCTCTAATTTCACGTATAAGTTCTGAAACAAATAATACAATATTTCATCAGAATAATGAACGTCCCATATAATGCGTGAAACTAATAACAATAATTGTGAATGTTTTAGAATTATTATCTACCTGATAACATTCCGGGTTGATAATCCGCAGGAGTACTATGTCTACATTGTGCCAATTTTGCTTTTACATTCTCTACATTCGACTTAGCTTCACTAAGTTCTTTAAACAGTTGGTTGTTACATTTTTTTAGCTCTGTCATCTGCAACATAATATTTGAAAGAGATCTTAATAATTTGAAAAAGATATTAAACACACACATTAAACAATAATTAAATACATTTTATGTATTTCAAGTACTAATAACAATCCTATAAATAACCATGTCAATAATAAAACATGTTTAATCCTATATACTTCCAAATAGAAAACAAACAAATACAAACCTGTTCAATAAGTGACAGGACAAGCTTATTACTACGGTTAATTGTCGTTATGGAACTTCCACTCTCAACACTATCGGAATCGTCACTGTCTGAGTGAGCCGAAGGTCCAGCAGGTCCTAATCCAGGATCAGAGTATCTTCTGTGCTCCGAATTAAGTTCGTCGCCATTGATACCATTATCTTTGTTAGCGGTGGGTGGTAGACTGGCATAATCTCCATTTTGAAGAGCCATATGTACAGCCGATTCCAAAACTCCGTTTTCTTGTAGATTCCCATAACCATTAACAACACTATTAGTATTGGGACGAACATTCGTCAAGTGCTTGTTACAGTGATGCCTTTGTCTACTGTGGATGGTTCTAATGTTTGGCACCGGCATTGGCTGATACATTCTGTACATCGTAGGCAGTGAGACCGGCTGCATGGTATATGTCATAGGCATCGGTGAGTAGCCGCAGACGCTCGGATCCGACATCGCGGTGAATAGACGTTGTCCATTACCCGACACGTTCTGCACGTCTGTCGGTTGCCACAGCATCTGCCTTGGAGGATACTCCATACCAGCCACCAGACCACCGTCCTGATTACTTTGTGAAGTGTTCGGAGTCCAGGTATCCTGTATCGTGTCCAGCAAGTTGCTCCTACGGCTGGATCGTCTCTTATTCTTCCTCGAGTGATTCGGTGGAATCTGACGCGGCGGTCTCGATGAGTTCGACAACCTACGCGTCAATCGTCTTGTTTATACCAAAACATAACCCCTCGAATGAGCGACAGAATCGTGACTCACCTCTGCTCCATCCCGACGGACGACTCGATCCGCATCAAGAGAACCTGGTTCCTCGCAAGAACGCGCGCAACATCCGCGAAACGGGGACGTTAGGCGAGTCGATCTGGCGGTCCAGTTCTCAGCTGTAACGGCACGTCGTCGTGAGATATTCCCTGAGCAGCCTGAGCAGGCCTGAGGCTTCAGCGCGATATGACAGGTCGTGCAACCTTCGCACTATCTTTGACAACTCACGCGCAAGATATTTTATCCGAGCTTATCGACGATCATCGTAATACAACGAGAATCGAAAAGAAGGGAACAATTTTGTTAGAAAGATGAAATAAGATCGTCTATCCACGACTATGTCTATCCACATTCACGCATGCTGCAGACGCTGCGGTGGTGACGACGGCAGCGAACGGGACTCAGACGATTTCACTGTTTCACTGATTTTAGGTACAAAAGATAACAGGTGACCATCGATAATAACGACTATCAAACTCGGAATATCCTCGGTCGATAATGTGACGTCCGACAGCAGCCGGCAGCTGCTTCTCATGTACGATGATCTATGCGGCTGTGTGCGACATAACCTCGGGAAGCGAGTGTCAAAGAGAGAAGATGTAACATAACCTCAAAGTGAGAAATGGCAACCGCTGGGAGACGGATGGAAAATGAAAAGAACAAGCCAATATTTTGCGAGTTGTCTGTTAATGATCTGGAACCGGAAATTACAGAGATCGAGAGTCTATGCGTGGAATGTGGCAAGAACGTAAGTAAACCTTACATTAATCTTGGAACTTCTTGTTAAAGCCCAGTTTCACTAATGTAAGGTTAACTTTAATTTGGGTTTAACTTAGTCTTCAGCTTTTTCTAATCCTAAGAATTTTAAAAATTAGAAAAAGATAAAGAGTAGATTGAACCGAGGTTAAAGTTAATCTCACGTTGGTGGAATAGAGCCTAATGTACGTTTCTACTAATGCAGGTTAATTTTAATCTTAGTTTAACTTACTCTTCTTTTTTTCTGGTTCTTAGAACTAGAGAAACATGAAATTATTTGAATCGTGATTCAAAAAATTAAACTACATTAGTAGAAACGAACATAAGCGAGGTATATGTCTATGACAAACACTGAACGCGAAAACTTAGAGTTGTGCATTTATACGTAAAATACGATAATCTACATATATATATATATATATACAATGTAAACCATGTAAATTATGTTTTACCTGTCAATTTATGTAAACAATATATGGATCATCAAAACCTATGTTCTTTGTATCAGACTGCACTAAGATCTGATTCTACCAATGTAAGATTAACTTTAATCTCTGTTCAATTTATTCTTTATCTTTTACTCTTTATCTCTGTCTTTCTCTCTCTCTCTCTCTTGTATATATACATATATATTCTAAGAATTATGTCCACTTCTATCAAAGTATATTTATTTTAATCTGACTTTAATTTACTCTTTATCCTTTTTTTAATTCTTAGAACTAGAAAAAGATGAAAAGTTAAACTAAGATTAAAGTCAATCTACAATGGTAAAAACAGATATTAGAAAAAGATGAACAGTAAGTTTAATCGATATGTTGAAGTTAATCTTACATTGGTAAAACCAGCCTCTATCTTACTTATACATTTTTATTTATCAATATTAAAGTTAGATATATTAACAATCATAAAAAAATTGTAATTCTTTCTGTATTATATTATCCAAATTAATAATTTAAATATTTTACATCACTTGTATTGTCTATAAAAAAAAAGATTCGTGTAAACGTAATCTTGAAATATATAGCACATCCCCATGGATTTGTTGCACAAATGCCACA